TTGATTTTGTCAGGGAACACATTGTATATCGTTTTGGGATTCCTCAAACCATAACTACAGATCAAGGAACCATGTTCACGTCAGAAGAGTTTGGGGATTTTGCTACCAGTATGGGAATCAAGCTACTAAATTCCCCTCCTTACTATGCTCAGGCTAATGGTCAGGCAGAGGCGTCCAACCAGATTATAATTAAGTTGATCAAGAGGAAGATCGAGGAACAGCCGAAGAAGTGGCATTCGACGCTGAATGAGACACTATGGGCATATAGGATGGCTTGCCATGGATCAATTAAAACGTCACCATACGAACTTGTGTATGACCACAATGCAGTTCTTCCTTGGGAAGTTCAAACTAGATCAAGGCGTGTCACACTGCATAATGATTTGTCAGCCGAAGTCTATAAGAATCTTATGATAGACAATTTGGAGGACTTAAGTTGCCTTCGGCTACGTGCTCTTGAAAGTATCAAAGCCAATAAACTAAGGGTTGCGAAATATTACAATAAAAAGGTCAAGTTTAAGCAATTCTCTGAAGGATACTTGGTCTGGAAAGTGAAATTGCCAACCGGGTCAAATGACAATAAATTTAGCAAATGGTCACCTAACTAGGAAGGACCCTATCGGATCAAACGTTGTGCGTCTGGTAACGCTTATATCTTGGAAACACTAAAAGGAGAAGAAGAATTTAACCGAGCAATCAACGAGAAATATTTAAAGAAATATTATCCTAGCATTTGGATCAATACTTAATAAGAGATTTATTCGGTCAATAGCTTTAATAGCCGATATTAGAAAGATATCGACTCTAGTGCAAAAAATGAACCCAAAGGGGTGGAAGCTGATATGATGTGTATCGCCTATAGAAGCAAAGCAAACATGAACAAAGTGGTGGGTATGAAGCATAAAACGAAGGGAAATCACTCAAGGCAAGGAAGTTGTTTGCTGAACGTCGCCTATTACAAGCTACGGGCTAGAAAATACTTTGCCTACTATATCATCGGCCAGGGTATTAGAAGCTACAGAGTTGGCAGCGCTCATAAAATCCTCAACCAAGCACTCATGCTCCCTGGGGTATGTTTCATTCGGAAAACCATGGGGAAGAAGCCAAAGGTTATGACCCGAATGAGCTTGTGCAGCAGCCTACGCCATGACAGCACCATGACGAACGCCATGAAGGGCGACCTCCCTGACATGATTCAGGATGTCATGCAAGCGAACCACCGGAACGGCGCTCTAGGCATTGACAAATCCCATCACATGGTCCGCGGCTGATCGAAGACTCTCCAATTGAGCAGTTAGATCTAAAATAGTCAAAGAAAAAGTGATCAGAGATCTTGAGGGCAAAATCAAAGAAAAACGGAGAAGTAATAGCAAACATCTCACCCATGATTCTAGCTTCAGCCCTGGCCAACCTTTCTCTCGTCAGGCCAACCTCGGGGGCTGATTAGTCTTCAATCATGGCCAAAGCCGATTCCGCTAAGGAGAGGCAGTTGGCTAGATGCTGGTCGGTCCGATCGATGGAGGCCAGTAGATCATCATTACCGATCTATTGCCTTGGGTAATGAGGAGGCCGACGACGAATTGGTGCCGGAGATGACTCCAAGGGCTGGGCGGAGTTAGCCCTTTGATCCGAAGCAATGGGAGTGTCCCAAGATGCATACTCTGGACGACGAAGGCGTTGGCATGATGATGTAGATCCGTTGAGGGCTTCTCCAGCAGACCTCTTGTTGCTCTCCATGACCTCGAATCTACGGAAAGGCAGGAAATATGCTAAGGATAAAGGAATATTGGGACGAAGAGGGTTGTTTTTGATCCGTAGCTATGGCCCGTATATATAGCCCGGGAAAGCAAGAAGATAGGCTTCGATGGAGGTGTAAAATTAAAATCAGAAACGGAAATGGATTAGCACTCTAGAAATTCAGGGGACGGGTAACAAAGAGATAACGGATTCGAATTTATTGCTTCCCTAGATTACAAAGTGTCGTGGGATGATACATTGACAAGAGATTAACCTACCAAGACTTCTTTGGATTGAAGAGAGTCCGGATCTCCATAAGGCCGAAGTTCATTGTGCACCGAGTCACCTCGGCCCATCGATAAAATTATACCAGGAAGGAAGAAAGGTCACCCGCCTAACGTATGCCTAACAGATTTCTCGGGTAAATTGAGGAACTATGGAGAAGAGGCCTGGGGCTTTCCTGACAGGCGTTTGGAGAAGCCACAAGAGAGAGGTGTCCATGCATTCGCCCTTGCAGATACTAGAACAGCTTTGTGAGCATGGGAAGAAGACTCAAGTGATATCATAAGAATTCTTCTAACCGCAATGGCTGATCTTCTTATTCAACGAAGCGCTAGAATAAGTGACACAATCACCCTATGCACAAGAATTCTTCTGGCCGCTTGAGATTTTCATAAGATAGACCATGGAGGGTCCAACGGAGTCGGGAGCACTTGAGAAGGCAGATAGAAGAAGCATGGTTGAATTATTGAGTTGCTCTCGCCAGGGTCGGATGGACATTTTATAGCCGGCCCGGGAGATGAATCCAAGTGCCTGTGAAGCAGTGACACTCTTGTAAGAAGTTTTGAGGCATGGACTCATGAGTGGACGCAAGCGGCGACAAACAGCGGACTCCAAATCAAAGTTCTCTGCCCGTGATTATGGACCAATCGGGGATATAGACATGATAATTTTAGAATAAAATTACTTTTATCCCAAAATTGGGGGGCATGTGTTTACACCAGAATTTGGAAAAAGGGACGCGGGAACTTGCAGGTTTCTAAGATTGTATCGATCAGGGAATTGATTGGATGAAGATCGATGACAGCCGATTCAGATATGACTGTGGAATCGGATCTCTTGGGATAATGTCAGCAGATAGCGATGACAAACTACGGTTGGCACTAGGAAACCATATATCGGACTCTGCAAAAGGGAAAAGATTAGAGTCAAAGTTATCTTAAATTAGAAATGTTTTTGTTTATGCCAAAGATTGTAGCGAATCGTGCTCGAGTAGGATTCATGTTTAGACCCCGGGTATAAATATTAGACCCCGGCTATTGTAACAAACAACAATCAATCCAATACACAAGTCATTTACTTTTTCGGCTCCGGCCACCCTTAGGAGTAGGAGTAATGTAGATCTCGGCGAGTTCTTCAGCAAGTACGGCTGCATCGATCTGGTCGACCTCCACTGCTTGTTGTAAGTACCATCATGGCTTATACCTCTGTTCGTACGGCTGCATCGATCCGGTCAACCTCCATTGCGACTCTGGTATAAGTTAGTTATCGATTCTTGCCTAGTTCAAGTATGGCTGTATCGATCCAGTCGACCCCCACTGCATGAACTAGATTAAGATCAAGTTATCGGCTCTACCTTAGAATAGCAGTCTCTGATAGATTAATTAAGTTATCGATATTGCATATTGCTTTCATTATTTATCTAAATTACAGCAATATCATTTTGCCCAATTGGGATTGATTTAGATCGGCCTTATATATTGTCTAATTCATCGTTTGCTAATCTGAAACTGATCTAATCTATACTTTAAACGATGAGTTATGTTTTATCGGCTGTTTTACATCAATTCTGATTGTGCATAGCGTGCGGTTAAGGCATGTTGCGTCTTAAGTAGATCTATTGGCTAGCGAAAACTACTCCATGGCTCGTTATCACGGCCTGTGTGATTTTGCCTCTCACCCCACTGTTAGCACCGTAGAGTGGGGATCATTATTTAGTAGATCTATTCCTGATAAGGCATGACTTTAACTATGCGCTATGCGTAAATCGACTGTTTTTAGCCGATATCGGGTGCTTTCACGAACAGTTTGCATCACGAGATCGTTGAAGTAAAGAATAAGTTAAAAGATACGTTAGCCCCGTGATCTTATTATTGTATTACGGCCTGCATGATTCTGCCTCATGCCCACTGATATTAGTAATGAGTTAGGGTCGTCGAATCTATTGTTATTTCTACGGCCTGCATGATTCTGCCTCATGCCCCACTGGTCATAGTGATAGATGAGATCTAACATGTTCATTAGATTTACCTTTATTAAACAGTTAAGCGGTGTTGAATCGTTTCTTTATATCAAAAAGGGGTTCGGTTACCTGTAATCATTGGCTTAGCATAAACCGATCATTGATTAACATCTTATTGCCATTGATTAATATTTGTTCAAATAATGACGTTTATCCTGAATGATAACCGATTCTTCTTAATCCAATGAGCTTTAACCGATTTATTCTTATGAATATGCTGGAATCGGCTATTTAGTCGATTTCCCTTCATATCGGCTATCAGAGCCGCACATTCGGGACTGTTTGGTAACACCGGCAAGTTCCGCCCTTAATTACTGATGAACTTTCTCTCCTTGTCAATTACAGGGTCAAATTAACTGGCACGTCTCGGAGGAGTGCGCAGGATCGACCACTCCTGTGCTGAAGCTAGGCGGAACTATAGCTCCATCGAACGGACCCTTTCGGCTTGCTGTGTGTTGACACGTTTCCGTGTCGACAAGAACATTCTAAAACCAAGGGAAGATCCGCTACTTGATAGCGATGATGAGAGACCAGAAAGCTTTGATGATGATTTCAGGAGGAAAGAAATGAGAAGGGGTATAGATTTGGCTACTACACTTGAACGTATTGAAAAGAATTTTGTCATCACTGACCCAAGGTTATCGGATAATCCAATTGTAAGACAAAAACTCCGATATCTTCTACCTTTAACACTATTGTTCTTTTCTTTCTATCAACATAGATATCAACCTTCCATTGAACTACATTCATTATATTTTTGGGTGAATGTCACAGATATTTGCATCAGATAGCTTTTTATGATTGACAGAGTATTGTCGCGAAGAAATATTGGGAAGAAATTGCAGGTAAATTATGACATTAAATATTACATAATTTCATTGCTTTCAACTGTTCATAAACTACATATTACAGTGACTAATGATTTAATGAATCACTTCACCTATATATGCTTCCCTTGCAGGTTTCTTCAAGGACCTGAAACTGACCGTGGGACAGTAAAGAAGATAAGAGATGCCATAGATAACCAAATAGAAGTTACCGTCTAGTTGATAAATTATACAAAGAGCTGTACATACTCTTCACATGCTCCCATGTTCTTGTAAGATCATGATGCAATTTCTATACCCCCGAATATATAACATCAATCTAGTGTTCTATTACTGCATTAGTACTAACTGATGGCAGATAGAGGCTAATAATGTGCAAATATATTTTTCCTATACTAATGAATCAAACTAAAATTTCTTGTGGTTGTTTATCACTTGAGCATGTAAAAAATTCTGGAACCTCTTTCACTTGCAACCTATGCGTGATCAGAAGGTACCATAATAAGAGATATGAGTTTTTTTTACCTAGATATTTGGTTTGGAACTATTTCATGTGATTTGAGATGCATCCAATTTGATGGTTGATTAGGGTGATGTTCAATACTTCATTGGGGTTCAGTTGGATGGAACTGAGCGCGTTCGAGATGCTGCTACAAAAGATGGTGCCATGCTGGTTTGTTTCTACCTTAATGGCAACTAGCATATATGGCCTTGCCATCACAAATATCTAGAAAAAATGAAAATAAAATGCCAAATAACTTTGTCGTGACTTCTATGTTATAAATGCAAGCCATCCATAGTGTATTAGCATTTAGCATCATCTAGCGTTTATTAAAGATTTATCTCTTAAACCCTGATGATCAACACTGGGACTCATATATTGTTGGTATGTATAACATTCTGAAAGTTCCATAGATAGCATCTTTTAGGTCGCTTCATTAATGCTCTGATCAACTCCCTCCTTAATTAGCTTCTTTTGTGTTTTAATTTGCATAAAGTGATTTTGACAACTAAATTTTATGTACCTTACTTTCTAAATTTCCTTGTTGGAAAACATAGTTGTCTTATGCATTAACCTGAATTATTCATGTACCAGGTTAAGAAAACTGCAGACAATATTGATGAGGCTGCAAAGGAACTCCCGGATGCTAATTTGGTTGGTCTAAATAAATATTCATTTTGTATAATATAAAATTAAGTGTGACTAGGCACTTGTAATATAAATTTATGCTCATATTTAGAGACCAGAGGATATATGGGCTAATCACTCAAAATCAGTCTTGCCAAAGCCACATATGAAGGATACCACATCATGGAGAGCCATCCAAAAGGTATGTTATACATAGTTCACAATATAGATAATTACATGCAATTTGTGAGCCTACTAGATGAAAGGGAACAATCATGAGACACTTGAGAAAGCAATTGGCATGCATTCTTCCATAGAGTTAGGTAGTCTCTGCAATATTATATGCCTAATTTGGAAACCACTGGAAACAAGCACATATGACATTTTTTTAGAAATCTCCTAGATAGTTCATGCTATTTTTTCTTGTAGGTTCTTGAGAATGGTGAAAACATTGATCTGAAACATTTTAGACCAGTAAGACCCTTAGGATCTGGTGACACTGGCAGGTAAGTACTTCTCTATTATAGTTCTAAGTGTAGTAATGACTCAGTTTGCATGAATCCAGTAGACATACTCCTTTCTAGTTTTTATTTCCTATTTACATTTTAAATAGTAAACATGTGAGTTGTTGTTGAATTGTAGTGTCCACTTGGTGGAGTTGCTTGGCATAGGTGAATACTTTGCCATGAAAGCTATGGATAAAAGTGTCATGCTTAGCCGGAATAAGGTATGAGTAACAGATTTCATCACACATGACATTTTAGTTACTTCCACCTTTAATTGTTTCTTTCTACATCCAATTTGTCTATAATACCTCTAGGTCCATAGAGCTACCGCTGAACGACAAATCTTGGATATGTTGGACCACCCATTCCTTCCGACATTGTATGCATCATTTCAGGTTTGTTGCATAATAAAACTATGTAATATATTGATATGATGATAGGGTTGTTAATGTTTGTTCTCCTTGATTTTATTATACTTTTGTGGATGGTATTATTGTTTCTATCATCTCAAAATTGTCATATATATGTTGCAGCCAAAGACACATGTATGTCTTATTACCGACTATTATGCTGGCGGGGAACTCTTTATGCTCCTCGATAGGCAACCTATGAAGGTTCTAAAGGAAGATGCGGTTAGGTGGGCATTGGCGTTGACATTGAAATTGTTTCTTTTGCTTGGATTTAGTGAAAACTCATTATGCTTCTCGGTTGTCATTGATATGCTACTCTGATCCTTAATTTGTTTATTGTTACATAATATAATTGGTAGCTGGATACAAGAACCCAAGAAGTATTGTTTGATGTTATTGTCCATGATTGTTGCAGGTTCTATGCTGCAGAAGTGGTCACGACACTTGAATACCTACATTGCCAAGGTAGTCATATATGCCATACTAATTATATAAATGAAATTCTCTTTGGTGGTGGTGGATAGCATGGATGTAGTGGATAGTCAAACACAACCCAATATTCAATAACCATATTGTTTCGCTTGACCAATAGTAATTATTTGCTAACATCTCGACTAATTGTTTTAGGTAAGAATTTGACCATTCATGAAAGTGGTAGGCTTCCTTAGCAAACAAATGGGGGAAAAAGGGTTCCTTGCACTTATTCATCACATTTTACTAGAGAAACTTGAGATGTTTACTATTTCTAAGCATTTGCTCCCCTCTTCTTTTTTTTCTCAGGTATAATCTACAGAGACTTAAAGCCAGATAACATTTTACTTGAGAGAGATGGGCACATTTCCTTGATAGACTTTGATCTGTCTTGCTTGACATCCTGCAGACCACAAGTAACTTCATTAACATACCTTACTGGACAGTTTCATGACTATTAGTTTAACTCGTTAGTCTATTTTTCGTAGTTGCACTTCATGATTATTCTCGTTGTTTGATAGGTGTTTCTTCCAGAAGATGGTAAGAAGAAAAGGAGGAGGAAGAGAAGGAGCAATCCCATATTCTTTGCTGAGCCAATGCGAGCATCAAATTCTTTTGTTGGTACAGAGGAGTACATTGCACCAGTATGTATATATATGTTGTTACTTCGCTTCATTTGTGTGTTTTTTCCAAGATTTTCATTTCTTGTCTCTATTTGACATGTGTGATAGTCATCATCATTTGTGGCATCAATCCTTGTATGCATGTTGTAGGAGATTATTACCGAAGCCGGCCATACAAGTGCTGTAGATTGGTGGGCGCTAGGTAACTAATCTTGTGCTAAAGGAAACATGTATGATACACACTAGTATAAAATAATGAGTATTCTCCCTATTTGTTGGATTAGGAATTCTTCTATATGAGATGTTGTATGGTTATACACCCTTCAGAGGGAAAACAAGACAAGGACCTTTGCTAATATTCTGCACAAGGATATCAGATTTTCTGCGAGCATACAGGTAATAATAAAAGCATTTATTCTAGTAGGTGAGCCTTGCGGCAAGTGTTTGTGATGTATATATGTTAATTGTAGGTGAGCCTTGTGGCAAGACAGTTGATATACCGGTTGCTACACCGGGACCCTACAAATAGGCTAGGTTCCTATGAGGGCACTATGGAGATCAAACAACACCCCTTCTTCTGTGGCATAAACTGGGCTCTAGTTCGTGCCGCCACACCCCCAGAGTTAGAGGCTCCCCTACAAGATACATTCGAGGCTGCAGGAGAGACATTGCCTCCTCCTGATGCAGCTCACACCGATATGTTCTGAACATACATTGATCCATGAAGCTACATGTTAATTTGCTCAAAGGAAGCAAAAATAAATATGAGATGATGAAGATGCATGTTTGTCTATGCATGCATGTGACGTAGATGAGAACAATAATGTATGTTAAGGACTAATCAATAATCTCAATCCATGTTTATGCATGCGGGTGCAATGAAAATAATGTTGTGTGTGTATTATTTCTACAGTTGCAATATGCACATGGGTCTAAAATATCTCTCTTTTTCTTTCTCTCTCTAGCAAACATGCATGCCTTTGGCTGTAACGGGAGAAAAAACATCAAACAAACTATTTTATGAATGGTTTCATGTTGCATTTAAGAGATAGTGAGTTCCCGTTGTATTATATGATATTGTCCATATCTAAAAATTCCTTAACACAATGCAATATATGTTTTGAAAGGATCTTTCCTTGCCAGGGTTCTAGCTCCAGAAGTAGGTGAACTTAGATAAAACAGAAGACTACAGAACAATGTAGACTACCTCTTGGACCTGGTGCACAAAGGCAAACTCAAATATGAGTATGCATTGTCATTCTGTTGTTAGGTTGCTGCTAGATCTTGTTGACATGCTCTCATCTAGACATTGTCGTGTCCGTAAATAGAAAAATAAAGTGAGTCCTTGGAAATATATTAATTTGTTTACAAGATCGAGTTGATTTCTTTCAATGAGTTTAGCTTGACCGGAGTCGAGGTAGACATGGAAGTCAGCCAAAGCAAGTTATCATGTTCTAAAATAAGGGTAGGCTAGGAGATCAAAGAGCATGCAATTGGCATTGACCTATATGAATGATAAATCCTCTAGTTGGTTATGTCAAAGTGTCAGAGTGACTTGGAGCTATAAATAAAATAAAGGCAACCGTCTTTGGTGTAATTATGAAACCAATGGCTTATAGCTACACTTAAGTGCGAGTTCATTTTGCAATAAACTGCCAAGTTAGTGAATGATCACTTGGTGATGGTAGGCGGTTGCACACATGGACTATGCGTAAAGTATTTTTTTCGAGAAAATGCTATATGCATTATTTTTTAGGCAGATGGTTAATGAGAATTCAGCAGGAGTTGTTTGTATCAATATCTAAAGTTCCTTTATATTTGTCATAAAAATTATTTTTTTTGTGTAGACCATAATTCGTTAGATTTGATTTATGTTTTTGAAACCATCCATAATTTATGGATATACCATTGAACAATAAATGTTCTAGTAGGCTATATAATAAAATGGAAACGGTGTATATAATTAAACTGTTTTAATTAATAAAAAAAGGTGAAGTTGTAAATTGGACAAATGGATTCATACCTATTTTTTTAAAAAAAATTGGAGAATTATTTTTGTTTATGTAACTAATATAATATAAGTATAATAATATAACGAAATAAAAAAGACTAAATTGTTGGGCCCACCTGTCAGTCAACCTTTAGCCTTACTCCGTTCCCCAACCTCTGGCGTTGTCGCGTTCATCTTCGATCTCCCTCTCCTCTCTCTCTCTCTCTCTGTTTGAGAACTGCCTGCTCCTGCTCCCTCCGCTCCTCCGTGCTCCCACTCGCCATCCCCAGACTTCATTTCAGGCGGGGATGGACGATTACGCCCGGGAGATGATGGAGCTCAAGACGCTCGTCACCCGCACCCTCGAGAAGAAGGGTGTCCTCGCCAAGATTAGGGTTCGTACTTCCCACTTCATTTCCCCAATCCCTCCATTGATCCGGTGCCTCCACCACGCCCCACGGATCTAGCTTTTCCTCCCCCTCCGGTTTGGGATCTACACCTCCGCTTCTGCAATTTCCTTACCAAATCCGCGCATTTTTTTTTTCAATTTCTAATGTGCACATTCTGAGCGCCTTGGCGCTGTTGGGTACTCCCTCCGTCCCCCCCCCCAAAAAAAAAACAATTCTACAATTCAAATTTTGTCCCAAAAAATTGCAATCCTAGGGCAATGGCTGCCATATCAGCTCATGGGACCCATCCTTAGCTGCCTTGGTATACGCCCTGGTGCCCTCTCCTCCACACATTCCTGTCTTCCAGAATGTTCCTGCACAGGTCAATTAACTGTACACAAGGGTATTTTGGTAATCTCGCTAGCTGCCTTGCATACGCGTTTGGTCCTACAATTGCGTTTTTTTTTGGGGGGGGGACGGAGGAGTAGGTTCTTGTTTAGGAATATGAAAGAATGCTCACGCATTGCTCAAGAAAAGTTTTTTTTTTCACCACGTCCAGTTTGTTGTTCTAGTCGCCATTACCAATTCGTGCGCTCATTTTGGTAAAACTCGTTTGGAACATATGAGATTGCTCGCACATTGCTGAAGAAAAGACTCACCTTGTATTATTTTGTTGGTCTAGTTGTCACCAATTGGTGTGCTCATTCTTGGCACAGTCGTTAGGAGGAAACGCGTCTTTGCTACTGGAAATCTTCTTTTTCGTGTTGTGTTGTGACTATTGCACCTACACTTCTCAGTGCTCTTTTGAGTTTCGACTCTAATGGTATGATGTCAGGGAATCTTACTGTAAGTGACAACAGTTTCTCTAGAGTTTTTTTTGGGGGGAACAAAAGAATCTATTTGTGTGTAACATAGATAAATACAGTTATCGTGGGTTTCTATCTTTTTTATCTGTTCAAGCATGCTATGCTCCGTCGAATGCACATACTTCTGCCACCTCTCCTGATGATGTTTCTGGCTGCATGACTAGGCTGAGCTAAGAGCAAGCGTGTTTGAAGCTATTGAAGAGGAGGATCGGGTGGTGGAGAATGATGATGGTGGGAATCCTGCTTTGCTCGGTAGCTGTAATGACCGAGCTAAGCAACAGCATGCTTCACCTTCAGGTTTGCCCTTTGAATGTGCTGGCATATCAGTTGTTTCAAATATGTCTGCAGAAGCCAAAGCTTGTCTCTGATGCACTATCAAAATGAGGGAGAGGAGAGGGAGAGGCCGGCAGAGGGAGAGGGAGGGAGGGAGGGAGGGAGAGAAAGAAGCTTGTCTCTAATGCTGCTACGCACATAGACCTTCTTTTCTCTCATATACTGACCTGTAGACATGTATACTACTGTTCTGAAATATTCCAGAAGGACAAAGGCTGATATTATGCTGCATGGTAATCTTTGGAAATTGTGACATTTTTTAGCAAGCAATTTAGGACTAAACCTGAAAGATACACATTTTTTCTCCTGATTGATGACTAGCGTGAGTCTTTGGATTTGAATGCTTCTGCACTGGTGATAATTCAAAGAAGCATTTCCCTAATGTATTTTGTTGTCCATATTTATGTTGTTTTTAAGTCCCATCAAGGATATCTCAAATGTTTAAGGTTCTTGTGCTGGCCTTAAATGATTTTCAGTACTAAGTTTAGCCATGACTCCATGAGTTTTGCAAGCTGCACATAACATGGAATGATTTTACATTCTAGGATTTATGTTGCTTGCAGGTAGGTTACTAACTGCACTTGTATGTGAATACTTGGAGTGGGCGCAACTAAGTCACACAATGAAAGTTTACTTGCCAGAGTGTAACCTGGTAAGTGGTGACTGTTCCTGATATTTTGTTTTTGCATTTCGGGAATCAACATCCATTAATGTTTCCCCATTTTGTTTGTAAATCAGCCCAAGGACTTCTGGAAGAATGAAATGAAAGACTTTTCTAACAAAAGTGGAGCTGAAGGGAGCAGGAGTGCTGAAAGTGGTCCAATGCTTTTAGATGTTCTCGAAGGTTATCTGAAATATGAGGTCTATCTCTCGCTTGATCATTAGCAGAAGAAAAAATCATCCTTTTGTTTCTTTATGTTTCCCAGTAAAGCAAAAAAGGGGGAAAGCTTTGGGGGTAATGTAGCCAATTCTTTTTTCCCCAGAAAACTGTGTAGTCCTGTATGGATCAAGGTAACAAATCTCTGGCAATAGCTGCCGCTATAGCCAGCTATAGCGGTGTTAAGCCACTACACCACTATTTGTACCCACATTCATTTTAGCCTGTTTTAGCCTGCTATAGCCAGGTATTAGCCTTATTTAAGAACTCTGCAACTAAATGTCTATAGCCGGCTATTTGTTACACTAGTATGGATCCTCTTATGCGTTATGTTTGCTATGTAGAAAAGGTAGTATATTGAGTTGTGAGCAATAATCCTTCATATTATTGGCGTCTTGCTTAATCAAACTGTCCAAAAAATTAGATTGTTTGCCACAACTACAATACTCATCAAGGTATTGCCTTAGAACAAAAAGTAGGTGTTGTTATTCTGGAAGCTTAAGGAGATAGGTCTATCAAGACCAAGCATTGTCCGAATGTAGAGAATATTCTAAGAATAACCAGAATGGATAAAAATTGATATGCTGTTTTCTGAGTTTGGTCAGTTATCTTACATTGCGTGCATGGGATTTATATTTACAATGCATTATTATTATCATTGTACTGAGATCTGCTTACATGTGATTTTTCAATCTAAACTTATTGATGCAAGGCCTATACTCAAGGTCTCCTTTTGTTGGTCTGTGGTGCTTGGGATATGAGCTGCATTTATGCTGTTTTCTGCCTATGACCTTTAGTTGACTGTGCACACAAAATTTGATTTTGATTTTTTTCCAGCTTGGCTTTCACTGTCCTTGAGCAAGTAAAGTTGATTGCATATTATACTTTATTAATACAAGTTTTTTAATTGTTAACCTCCAAATATAGTCAGTATGCTCTAGCTTAAAAGTTTTGGTTTTCTACAACATGCTTTGGTCGTCTAAATATGTTGTTTTGGTCAGAATTTGTCTCAAACAAGGATGGGCGGCAGGAGGATGATGAGTTCAGAGTCTGATCCATCGCTAAATGCTGAACATCGGAGCATGAGGAGGCCACCATCAGGGTCAGTTGGGAGCCTGCCTCCTATGGGGAGGTAAGCATGATGCCATCCATACTGACGTGCCATTGTAATTATGCAGAGCTATTTGCTTTTGGCATTAGATATTTAGATGTGAGTGTGACATATATATCACTTTGAAATTTCCAGGCCAAT